ATTTTTTTTAATATTTTATTTTTTTATTTATTTGACAGACAGAGATCACAAGTAGGCAGAGAGGCAGGCAGAGAGAGAGAGAGGAGGAAGCAGGCTCCCCGCCGAGCAGAGAGCCCGATGTGGGGCTCGATCCCAGGACCCTGGGATCATGACCTGAGCCGAAGGCAGAGGCTTTAACCCACTGAGCCACCCAGGTGCCCCGTGTCTTTTATTTATTTTTTATTTTTTATTTTTTTCTTTTTTTATTTCACAGAGAGAGAGATCACAAGTAGGCAGAGAAGCAGGCAGACAGAGGAGGAAGCAGGCAGACAGAGGGGGAAGCCGGCTCCCGGCTGAGCAGAGAGCCAGACGTGGGGATCGATCCCAGGACCCTGAGATCATGACCTGAGCCGAAGGCAGAGGCTTAAACCACTGAGCCACCCAGGCGCCCCCTGTGTCTTTTATTTTTTAAAAAAGATTTTATTTATTTATTTGAGAGAGATCACCAGCAGCAGGGATGGGTAGAAGGAGAAGCAGACTCCCTGCTGAGCAGGGAGCCTGACGAAGGACTTGATTCCAGGACCCTGGGATCATGACCTGAACCAAAGGCAGATGCTTAACAAACTGGGCCACCCAGGTGCCCCTATTTTGTCTTTATAACTATATTTATTTAAACTATATATATATATATATATATATATACACACACACACACACACATTTATTTATTTATTTATTTAAACTTTATCTTGTGTGTGTGTGTGTATATACACACACACACACACACAGTCAAGGGTACCTCAGTTGTTTATTTTGGAACAAAGTTGAGGTTTAAGAAAAAGAGGTATGGAAACCAGATATTTTCTCATTGAGGAAAAAAGTCATCGGAAACCGTTTATGTCAATAAGCTGTGCATATAGAAGATGCAGTTGTGTATAGTCTGTTTTTTCTTTTCTTTCAGTGTTTCAAAGAAAAGGATTCAGATCTTTGTCTTTCATGTAGTCAGAGACAGTCTCTGACAGCATTGTGAGGCAGCTGTGTCGTTAAAGGGCGGTTAGTTCAGACAGCAGATGAACACATACAGCATCTTCTGTGGCTGAGCTGTGTGTGTGTGTGTGTGTGTGTGTGTGTAATATTTTGTGCCTTTTGATACTGAACTCCTTTTGGTACTTGTTGCCGAGTAGGTTCTTATGCCCCACTGTAACCTTTTGGTTACACATCATCTCCTGGCCAAGGGCCTAAATCTGAGGTGAACTCGTTGGAAGCTCAGCATTGGTGAGAAGCAAGGTCGGCTGGGTTACCAGCAGCAGGGCTTGCGTATGGACATTGGTCTTGGTAGTAGAATTGAACCAGGTGCAAGACAGGATTTTGTAAGTAGAGTAGACATGGTAGTCACCCCAGTGACAGTAATGATTTAGTGATTCACAGTGTAGCAGCAAGGAAAATGTGAGTAAACTGTCCCCATGCCAGAAGGAATGTCACTGAAATGTCAGCGAACCTCTGCTGCCTAAAAACAGTTGGCCTGTGCATCTCAAAGCCAATGAAATCAACCCTACCCCTTCGGTAGGACTTGGAAGTCTTGAAGGACCTGGACTGTTAGCAAGTCTGTCACCCAGGAACATCACAGACCTTGGTGTCTAAGGCTTAAGAGGGAGAAATATCCTTTCTCTAAGTCGGGGTTGTCTTTGGCTGGAAGACCATCACTTCCCACAGAGTCTGTGTAGGTTGGCCTCAGGTACACCATCCTCTTTGAGGGAGGAAGCCCCCAATTTCTGTATCCAAACCTATATCTTCAATAACCTGGTCACATTCTCAGCAGTTGTTGATATTAGTAGAATTTCAAACTGGAAAATAGTAAAATTTAAACTTGTTTCTTATAAACATTGCTCTGTTCCCTGATTCTCATATTATTAGAGATGTTAATATAGAGAATGTTTTACTTATAAATGACATGTATTTACAAGCATGTGCCCCACCTATACCGCAGCCAATATCAAATGGATGACATTTTGAAAAATGACATAAAACTTTGAGGGAATGTATAGGTTCAGAAGAAGTTTCAGAAAGCAGCACCTGCATAAGAAAGCTAACAAGGAAGGCTGGGTCTCAACATGGTGTTTTACCTAACCATCTGGGGAAGGGTAACTACTTCTGCTTCAAAATACAGGTTTTCACTTGTGTTTGTCACAGTGCCTGAAATTCTGGTGGTTATCTCAACCCAAATGCCCCTGTGACCGGCCAGAAACACCGCATGTTTATTCTAAAAAACGAACAGAAACTATTGGACTTGCCAAATGTATGCAGACTACGTTAGATTAGAGAGTCACTGAGCTGAAGAGTGAAGTGTGAACACTTCTAGGCAAGCTTAGGGGATTCTTCGGAATCCCTTAGTGTAGTCAGGTGCTCTGAATGCTGAGAGACATGAAGCGAGAAAGATATTTAAAGTATGCGCACTTGGAAGGTGGGCGTGCCCTGTCTCGGGGGCTTAAATGAGGGGTCAGGTGAAACTTGAAGGTGTTGTGGGAGAAGGGTCCTTGGAGGACGGAATGAATGCCAAAAGAGGGAAGCTACTGCAGACAGACATCAGTCTTTTCAAGCAGATTTCAGAGGAGATTCTGCACTTTCCTCTTTGCCTTCCCTGCACCACCTCTCTGTCTCCAGCACCCAGGGTTAAGACGGTCTTACACAGACTCTTCGTGGTCTGGACACTTGCCCTATTATTAACTCTATAGCCCTCCATGTATCTGGTTTACCATTGTAACTAGGAGCTTCCTGGAAGGAACTGGTGGACATTTGACTGACATTTCTAACATGGCTTTTCATGGGGAAATGCATTCTAAGTGACAACCAATCAAGTGTTCAGCAGACTTTTGGAACAGGGTGGGAGTTGCCCATGTTGGGAAAGGCAGTTTTGAGGAGCATAGCACACTGTGCTCATCTGTGCTAGAATCCAAGTGCCTGTAGTATAAAGAAATACGACCTAGAAGCATGTTGTTCCTTTATAACTCGTTATGTGGAAAACTGTTTGAATTCACTGAGTATTTTTATTCCTTTGACTTTTAGTCTCTGTCAGACACTTGTAAATTTCTGCTGTGTCCCATCAAAATGACTGCAGGGTCCGAATTACGGAGTTCTCACATATTTTATTGTTTATTCGTAGATTTATTTAAACATCCAAATCTAGGTTAACATCTTTTTTTCATGTCCTAGATTAGTACATCTTCTGTGCTCTCCTTTTTTGTTAAGGGGATTTTTAGCTATTCTTTGAAAGTAGAAACCTCTCTTTAATTCTGTCAACCTCTGCTTTATGTCTTCATTCCACTTAGACTCATGGTTTCTCATACGTCCTCTTCCTTTAAAGTTTCGCTTATTTCTTTTTATCATCCCTACTGTTACCACCATCATCCTTATTATCTCTCACTTGGGGTATTGCAGTGAGATTTTAAGAGATTTTACCTTCGGGGCACCTGGGTGGCTCAGTCTGTTAAGTGCCAGACTCATGATTTCGGCTCAGGTTATGATCTTGGGGTTATGGGATTGAGCCCATGTCTGGGCTCCATAATCAGCACTGAGTCTGGTTAAGATTCTTTTTTTCCCTCTCCCTGTGCTCCTCCCTCCACACATGTGCTGTCTCTCTGTCTCTTTCAAGTAAGTAAGTAAGTAAGTAAATAAATAAATAAATAAAATATTTTTTAAAAAAGATTTTACCTTCTTCTACCTGGAGTTCTTTTTTTTTTTTTTTTTTAAAGATTCTATTTATTTATTTGTCAGAGAGAGAGAGAGAGAGCGAGCACAGGCAGACAGAGTGGCAGGCAGAGGCAGAGGGAGAAGCAGGCTCCCCACAGAATAAGAAGCCCGATGTGGGACTCGATCCCAGGACGCCGGGATCATGACCTGAGCTGAAGGCAGCTGCTTAACCAACTGAGCCACCCAGGCGTCCCTCTACCTAGAGTTCTTAACATTAAGGGTTATAATTCATACTGAGCTGTGAAATCAGTTTAATAATGGTGACTGGCATTGTTTTTTGTAATTGAATAGAATAGAAATAACAGAAAGCATCTCAGTAAAGGCAGTTCTCTTTCAGTTGTGTGTGTGTACATACATACATAGGTTATATACACATGCTATGGATCATAATTAAAATATATTTGTTATTTTGGGTCACAGTCAAGAAGATGTGAAGGCCACATTTTGGTCTAATGCTTTCGTGGGCCTTCTTACCCAATCCTAATCCATCTCTGTCTTTCAGAGCTATTTTTCCAAAACCAGAATCTCATCTCACTGTCCTGCTTGAGACTTCACCAGCTCCCTGTGGTCTACAGGAAAAAGTCCACCCTCCTTACATGGCTTATAAGACCTTTAATAATTTGAACCCAAAGCATCTTGGGTACTGTTCTCCTTGCCCTGCCTTCCATATGTCTACCTTGTGTCCTAGCCACATAGTGCCTCTTGCTTTTTTTCAGACATGCTGTACTCTTTTATCCTCCTACCTGGCCATTCCCGCTGCTTGGAATCCACTCGCCACATGGCATCTCATTTTTTTTTTTTTTAAAGATTTATTTATTTTAGAGAGAGAGAGAGAGAGCCAGAAGGAGGAGGAGAGGGAGAGAAAAACTCAAGCAGACTCCCTACTGAGCACAGAGCCTGACCCGGCGCTTTATCTCATGACCCTGAGATCAGACCTGAGCTGAAACCAAGAGTCAGATGCTTAACTGACTGAGCCACTCAGGTGTCTTGGCATCTCATTTTTAAAGACAGAAATCAGAAATCACTGATTTTGAGAAGCCCTTCTTCAGTACCAGATAGTCTGTCATGCCTCTGTGCCTATATATTTGACAGCCTCCCCCAGCCTGACTGGGGAGAGTAAGTGAGGGCAGGTGAGGCCCAGGGCTGTGTGTGTTCTGCTAAACTGGAGTCCTTGATTAAGCGAGCACCACCACAGTTCTGGTCTTTGGGTGTTTATTTTTTTATTTTTTAAAGTAAATCTTCCTATTTAAGTACTTTTCTAAACATGTTTTTAGATCTCAAAGACAGAATTAGATTGGTTCCTTGAAGATCTGGAAAAGGAAATTAAAAAATGGCAACAGGAGAAAAAAGAAATCCAAGAAAGTCTGAAAGCACTAACGAAGAAAATGAGAAAGGTTTTAAATGCCAGTGAGACGTAAGTAATGACTGAAAGGCAATGATTTTTATTGCTTGGGGGAGGGGGTTGTTAACATTTTTCAGACTATGTCAGGTTAAGTACAAACTTAAATATTGTTTTCATCACATTTTTTAGAACATTCAGTGGGAAACTATTTTACCTAAAACGTTTCCTAAACTTACCCTGTTGTCAGATAAAATGGGACTATGAATCAGCAAAGAACTGACTTCCTTCTAGTTGGGACACCACCCCTTACTATGAACATTACCTTTGACCCATGTTTTCCTTATCTGTAAAGTGAGGGGCTTGGTCTAGATCTAACGCTCTTTCCTGCACTAGGATTCTGAGATGATTATTTATATTACTTTCATCTTGAATCTTTAGATTATTAAAATTTGGTCTTGTGGTATGAAGGATTTGGTAATGCATACAGGTAAGCAGTTGTCAGATGGGCCACGTTTGTTTTGAGATTCTCTGTGATCCATTCCTAATCCCTCTCCTCCCTAAAAAGTGATATGTCATATGATTCCTGACCTTAATTGTTACCTACCACCATGTAACAAAACACCCAAACCTGGTGGCTTAAATTAGCAGCCATTTTATTTGATCCGCATCTTGGAACTTGGGCTGAGTTCCACTGGGCTGTTACGCTGGTCTTGCCGATGGTTCCCCATGTGGCTGGGGGCTAGACTCAGCTGGGATGTCCTGGCCTCTTCTCTCCATTTAGTTTCAGGGTTGTTCCCTTTCCATGTGACTTTTATCTGTTGGTCTCTCCATGTGGCATGTGGTCTCCAGCATGGTAGACAGACTTCTTATGTGTACCAGGAGGCTTCAAGGATATAGGAGTGGAAGCTGCCGTGTCTTCTGAGGGTCTGGACTGTCAGAGCATCACTTCCACCACATTCTGTTGTTTAAAGCAAGTCGGCAGGTCTGCTCTACATTTACAGGGCATGAAGAATGGGAGGCATGGTTCACTTGGGGCCACACTGCCACACTCACCGTTCAGGACATTTGTACTTTTTCCATTAGCCGTGCCATATGATCAGACGACTTTTACTACGAGTCTTGCTGGCATTACATTTGGGCCATTTTTAGGTAGTCCTTAAGAGAATGATGACATATAAAACATTGCCAGTGGCACGTCATTTTGAGTATGCTCAGAGTAAAGTAGTTCCGTCAGAACGCATTTGTGGAAATGATACTGTCTGTAAAGCTCTTTACAGTATTTCCCTCCTCCCACCCCCACCGTTGTCACTTCCCATGGTTTCAGTTACCCTCAGGCACCCGCAGTCCAGAAGCTCAGACGATCCCCCTTCTGACATGTTGTCAGGGGGTCAGTAGTAGCCTAACACTGTGTCACACACCTTACCTCATCTCACCGCATAGGCATTTCATCATCTCACGTCATCACAAGAAGGGTGAGTACAGTGCAGTAAGATGTTTTGAGGAAGACCACATTCACATAACTTGCATTACAATATATTGTTATAACTGTTCTAAGTTATTATTATTCATTGTTGTTAATCTGTTACTGTGCCTGATTTACAACTTGAACTTTATCATAGATGTGTAGATATAGGAAGAAACATAGGTTCGGTACAGTCTGTGGTTTCATGCATCCATGGGGCGGTCTTGGAACCTGTCACTCCATGGATAAGGGGACTGCTATGCCTCTTAATATTTGAGCATGCTGGTAGTTAAGTTATTCAAAAATTCAGGATTATTTATATTTAATATATATTTTTGTATACTCAATTCAAGTTAATATCAAATTAGATAAAATAAATGAGGCTATTTAAAAAATATTTTCTGTACTATCATAAAAAGTAACTTTCTGTTGTGGAATAAGGTTTTATTGATTTTTTTTCACTTTATTAATTTTTTCTTATTTTTTTCTGTTTAAAGATAAGTTACAGACTTCTCTATGTGTATTGTTTTTTTTAAACTTTCCAGATGTTTTTTTATTTCCAGATAAATTTTTTATTTAGGTTTTAAAGTAAAATCTTAGAACCTTTTGGATCTCTTAGAGAAGTACAAAGGATATGAGAAATGATGGCTGTCCAGTATTGAGTACTTAGAGGAGGACGTATTTTACAAAAGAAGTGAAAATGACATTTAAATATTTAGGTTCTTAGAATTTTTAGCAAGTAGAGATGACGAAAAGTTGTGTGGGAGAGAATGAAAGAAAGGCAGAGTCCATCTTGTACAGGGTTTTGCTTTATTATTATTGTTATTATTTTTAAGATTTTATTTATTTGACAGAGAGATCACAAATAGGCAGAGAGGTAGGCAGAGAGAAGGGGTAAGCAGGTTCCCTGCTGAGCAGAGAGCCCGATGCGGGGCTCAGTCCCAGGACCCTGGGATCATGACCTGAGCCAAAGGCAGAGGCTTAATCCACTGAGCCACCCAGGCGTCCCCAGGGTTTTGCTTTAAAATCAAAGACTTATACACTTTGTTTTGTAGGGTTATCAGACTGGATGTATGTGTTAACTGGGCTTTAAGTTCTGTTTTAAAGACTAGAAGGCTATTTTCATTTTGAGTGAGAGCTGCTGGTTCTACCAATCATAATCAACAACACCTGCACTCTTCTGGGTCACATTGAACCCAATGGGGCTTTCCTTGCAGTGAACTGAGATAGGGTGGTCTACACTCAAACATATGACCCAGGGTGAAGAAAAGGTTTCTGCCCTCCAGGCATGAAAGGAAACCCACCTGAATTCTTTGCCTGTTTCTAAGATAGTAGAAATAAAATAAAAACGTGGAAATTTACAGAGAATTCAAAAAATGTTTGAATGGATATAGGTAGAATTTACTGTGTGGGATCGTGTCTTTAAAAATGTTTGAAAATTAAAACAAAAATAAAAAATAAAAATATTTGAAAATTAATTGAAATTTGGTGATTTTCTTTCATAGATGTACCCAGGAAAATGATGGAAAGGATAAGGAACATGAATTACTTCTGGATCAGTCCCTTGAAATCAGGCAAATTAAGCTTAAATTTGTTTTTACTGTCTTACTATACTTTTAATACCAGAGGCACCAGCACATTAGGCTTCTAAGTCTATTGTTGTAGCTTGTCTATTTTTTAAAAATAATTATGTGTTTCTGTTCTTGTTTTTATTTTATTCTTTAACATGTAAGTACATTTATTCTTTGAGTATTTTTATTTTATGATGTTCCTACTACTTTATTTCACATTGTCAGTTAAAAATCCTGAATTTATTATTGTTGACTACTCTTCTTTTGAATTCTGAAACTAAAACTGTGGTTTTTTTTTTGTTTTATTTTTTTTTGTTGTTTTTTTTTTAAGGCTACAATAGTTTTTAATGTTGATACTGTATAGAATCACTGTTTAACACTCTTTTTGGCCTGGGGTTGGAGATGGGAAGTAGGAAACACTACATTTTTATTTGCAATTATCTCTTTCTCAGATAAATTAGTTTTATATTTCATTTATATCAAATCATCTATTTTTTAAAATTTTTTTTATTTTTTTAATTTTTTTTAAATTTTATTTTTTATAAACATATATTTTTATCCCCAGGGGTACAGGTCTGTGAATCGCCAGGTTTACACATTTCACAGCACTCACCATAGCACATACCCAACCCCAGTGTCCATAACCCCACCCCCCCCTCTCCCAACCCCCCTTCCGCCATCAACCTAAAACTGTGTTTTTTAAAACCTTTCTTTCGTGTTACTTAAAATAATAATCTTAACTTTGCTGTGGTAGTTTGTTGCTCTACAATGATAAGTTTATTTAAGATTTTTATTATGAACCTATAAAATGTTTTCCTTTTAATCTTCATTAATGGAAATAATGTGTTTACATACTGGTAGCCAGTGTATCCAGTAGTTAAGCAGTTGTGTTCGCATTTCTTGTTGAATATTATTTCACGTATACATTTCCATTCACGTCATGATTCTTGGCCTCTCTTTTTAACTCTTATCAACATATTGCCATGAATAACTTTGTACAGATCACTTTTTTCCTTTGAGTTATTTCCTTGTAATGTGTGTCAAAACAGAATTTCTGACAGAAAGGATGAGGGAATGTTCTGTAAAGCTTATTGATATAGTCAGATTGCACTCCACCTGTCCTCATAAAAAGGACGAACCGGTTTCTCAACATTTCCACCAAACACTCAATTTTATATGTTCCTTTGATCATTTGTGAAGTGCATAAAGGACATATGAGTCTGAGTATTCAGTAGTCAGATACTAGGCAAGAAGGTACTTTAGAGGATGTTATGTAAGTCTGTCTGTGACATGATTCAAAGCTAGGCCTTTGGTTATCTCACTGGTTTGGTTTGGTTTTGTTTTCAAGAAGTTTTTTCCTTAATATTTGCAGTAATACATTTACAAATGAGAAAATGAAAGTAGAAGAATGTATAAAGAAAGGGAAGGAGAATTATGAAGAGAGTCTTCAAAGAGCTGTGGCTGCAGAGGTGAGTCTAAGACACTTGGTGATGGGCAGATACGGCAACGTATGTTTACTTTCTGTTCAATTACATATGAGTCATAACGGTATTGCCAAAAGATATGGAGTCCAGGGGATATCCTGTCACCCATAATCCTACCTCCCAGAAATAGCTACTTTTTCCTTGCCTATCACATTTTAATTTTTTTTTACCTTTAAGCTTACGTTGTGTTATATAGCTATACTCACGGTGTACACCAAATTTTGCAATCTGCTTAACTATTATTGTAGTTCAGTCCTTTTCCGTGCTATACACTTAGAATGGCTTTATCATATGTAATTAAGTGATACACCATGAAGTAGCCAACCATAAAACATACTTGCCAGTACTATTAATATACTCTCAAAAAGAAAGAATACGCTTTTTCCCCCAGAAGAACATATACCAATGTCAGTGTACTGTTTGAGACACTGCTAAGACAAAAACCAAAATAATGACCTCTGGCTTTATTTTATTTAGTTCCCAAAATATGGCTGTCTTTGTTTTTCCAATTGAGAAGTAATGTTCTTGGTTGGTGTATATATCTGTGATTATTCTGGGAAATTAAAAAAAAAAAGCTTAGCTTACATAGTCTGCAGATGCACTTTTGATTAAATATCGGCTGTGCAGTTGCTTCTAAGGATAAGAGGGGGGAAGAAAGCCAAAGTACATATATTTTTGGGTCCTGTGCCCACATCTGTATTCATAAGCTTCTTCAGGTCCCACTTACCACCATTTGGCCAGCCCGTCTGCCTCGTGGGTCCGGGACTGACACCTGCATTAAAACAAAGCACTTCTGTATTTCTGTAGTGACTTAACAGAAATGGCCAGTAGGCTTATTGGGAAGCTAAAGAGTCTAAAGTTTTAAAAACCTGCCCCAAAGGCTTTTGAAGTTCATAATGAGAGCAACTTCTCGGAGGCCTTTGAATTTGAGAGGGTGCAGCCGTGGGGTTATTCTGCATGCCCCTGGCCCTCCGCTCTCCAGGAACAGGACCATAGATAATGTACATCAGGTGTATCCATGCAGGTTGCCTGGCTCCGTGCTCACCCATGGCTAAAGCAGTAAGCCATGTGGAAAGTTCCATATCTGAGAAAATGTATCATTGAAGGTAAAATAATTTTACTGTCATTATGCTACTCTGTATTCAAATCCAGTTTTGTTTAATTCCTATTCACTTGTGTGAAATTATGACATAATCCAGGTTCTAGTGATTCTGTCATCATCTGTCATTTAAGAAGAAACTTGAAAGTAGTTCAGAATGTTTAGGTTTTAACAACCTAAAATAGTTTGTTTCACTATCTTAAAATACTTAAACACTCTCTAATCTAATGTTAGGTATCTGTGCTTGAGAACTGGAAGGACACGGATGTGTACAAATTACAGATCCTGGAATCACAGGCAGAAGGGTATCTTAAGAGCCTGAAGCTTCTGGGCAGGTACTGTGTGGTATCACAGATGTTCGTTCTGGCATGTCATCTAGTAAATCCAGGTTAGAGCTGATTTGAGAAAAAAAATGTTTATATTAGGACCTTTTTTTTTTTTTTTTTTTTTTAATGAGGGCTGGGCATGGAGGCCAAGAAGGGGCTTGAACTCATCACCCTGAGATTAAGACCTGAGCCCAAATCGGATGCTTAACTGATTGAGCCACCCAGGCACCTCAAGACCATTTTATTTTACTTTTTTTTAAAAGATTTTATTTATTTATTTGACAGAGATCACAAGTAGGCCAAGAGGCAGGCAGAGAGAGAGGAAGGGAAGCAGGCTTCCTGCTGAGCAGAGAGCCCGATGCGAGGCTCGATCCCAGGAACCTAGGATTGTGACCTGAGCCGAAGGCAGAGGCTTTAACCCACTGAGCCACCCAGGCACCCCAAGACTGTTTTAATAGTTATATAGTCAATACATGTTCAATTGTAGAAATATCAAAATATACAAACAAAACTGATAAAGATTATCCATAATTCTAAATTGATGTGTAACTAGTTAGTATTTTGGAATAAATCATAATCATTAAATGTTAGAAAAAAAATAAAATTTATGGGTTTTTTCCACCAAGTAATATATAGGAAACTTACTTTCATATCAATAATTACATTTCTCTAACCTAATTTTGTGAAGTTGGATAGTGTTCTAGCATACAAATGTGTTGTGATTTATTAAACAACACTGTGATGGTATAGTCAGGTTATTTGCACATTCTATTAATAAAAGCTGCACTTGAGTGAGTTTCCTTGTAGCTAAATTTTTAAGCACATCATTAATCATTTCCATGCAATAAATTTCTGGAATGATCACATTTTCAAACTTTTTAAAAAATTACTTTCTATAAGAATAGTCACTTAACAGTTTTAGTGGTAGACTGAGAATAGAATGTCACTTCCAAAGATACTCACCTGTGGTCCTTTTTTCAACTCTCTGTAATCTGTTTTTTTTTTTTTTTTTTTTAAGATTTTATTTATTTATTTGACAGACAGAGATCACAAATGGGCAGAGAGGCAGGCAGAGAGAGAGGAAGGAAAGCAGGCTCCCCGCCAAGAAGAGAGCCCGTTTCGGGACTCGATCCCAGGACGCTGAGATCATGACCTGAGTTGAAGGCAGGGGCTTTAATCCACTGAGCCACCCAGGTGCCCTCAAGTCTCTAATCTTTACTTGTTTTTGTTTAACTTTGTTTTTGGAATAAGGTTTACCTGGGAGTTCTAAAGGGTCTTCTTCAGTCTAGCCTCAGCACTTTCTGTGTGGATTTTCACACAAGGGATTACTTTTCATCTGGTCTCTTTATCATATTCCACAGTCAGGTTTTTCATCCTTCTCTATGCTTTTTACTTTATACTTCAACTCTCAGTGTTGACCCTCTGTGGGTCATGGAAAAATTTCTAACAGTTCTTATTTCTTGATTTTTCAAGATAGAGTTTTTTCACATGAGAAAACGTTTCTAATGAGAGAAAACTAATATGCTGATTCGAATGACAAGACTGGTACAGCTGAAGTGGAGACCAGTGGTGCCCAAAGGCTGGTGTTTCATCTGGTCATGGGCTACATGTTATGGCAACTCTGGAAACGGAGCTCTCAGCCCTTCCATCTGGGAGTGTCAACTTCCTCATGAAGCACCACAGTACATGTAGCTTCTTTCTTAGGGATTTTGTATGAACTCTTTCATTCCACCAATGGAAAGTGAAAGAGAAAAGACGTAAAAGGAATGTTCTGGTTTTTCCTTAAGATATATAATGAGAACTGACACAACCATGGATTGATAATGTTATTGATTTCCCAGTTAGGAATGGAAAGCTTGTTTGTCACTTTTAGTAAAGGTGCTGAGGTATAAACTTACCGTCTGTTGGGCCTCACCCTTTATTTTACCATAAGGTGAGGGTGATGTTTTATTGAAATGTTTAAGTGTTCCAGGTTGCCCTTTTATTTTTTTTAATGTAAAAACAGCCTTTGATGTTAAACACAAAGATGTTAAATGAAAAATGGTCAGATCTTCAAATCTAGGGCAAGAAATTAAAATTCAGGAGAATATGCTGTCTGCCCACCAGTTCGGGAAGTTTGGTTGATCAGTAATTAAGATTTCCTCAAGTGTTTCTACTGGTGAGTCTGCAAGATACATAATTCTTTAAAAATAGTTTTCTATGTGGGGCACCTGGGTGGCTCAGTCTGTTAAGCATCTGACTCTTGATTTCCGGTCAGGTCATGATCTCAGGGTTGAGAGATGGAACCCCACATTGGGTTCCATACTCAGTGGGGAGTCTGCTTGAAGATTTTATCCCTCTGCCCCTCCCCCAACACGTGAGCACTCTCGTGGACCCTCTAAAATAAATAAATCTTTAAGAAAATAGTTTTGCATGTGTGATCATGTTAAATATATCTTTCTGGGGGGCCTGGGTGGCTCAATTGGTTAAGTGCCAGTCTTCTGCTCAGATCATAATTTCCTCGTCCTGGGATCGGGCCCCATGTCAGGCTCCTTGCTCAGCAAGGTGCCTACTTCTCCCTCTCCCTCTGCCTGCCGCTTCCCCTGCTTGTGCTTGCTGTCTCTCTCTCTCTGTGTCAAATAAAATCTTTAAGAAAATAATGTATATGTAGTCTTTCTCATGTTTACATGTTTTCATGTGCACTTTAGTGTTTTTAACTTTTAAAAACATTTCTGAAGTAGACAGTAAGCAATTTCATGTTTTTCTGCTGTTTCAGTGATTCTGCAACTTACCCTGATATGGAGTCTGATGTCCATTCATGGGAATCGTTTCTTTCTAAGGTTAGAAAAGAAACTGAGAAAGCAAAGGTAAATTATAAAATATTTTGTAATTCTTTCAAAACCTATATGATGATTATAGTTCTCAGGAGATAGGTTAGTGTCACTGAAACTCTTTTTTGAACTGTTAAAGGCAATATGTATTTTTTTTGTTGTAATTATTAAAAGTTTTTCCTGAAAGTAATGCTGTTTTCTTAATTATCTGTCTTAAACTCTGCCTGTAATTGAGAATATTAGAGAAGTTATATTTGATAAGGCTGTAGAGCATTCCGATTAATATCTAATTTTGAACTTCTTTCAAGAAATAATTGTTCTGATACTTTGCCTGTCCGTTATATTTCCTGGAAGACTGTTGACCATTTGTAAATATATAGTAAGAAAAAAGTATTAATTCACAATGCTGATTTTCCCTGGAAATTTATTAGACGAGCCTAATACTTTCCCTTCTACCTACAGTCTCAGTATGAAGAACAAATTCAGGCAGTTAAAAATGGCTCTCGGCTCAGTGAACTTCCTAAAGTGGAGATTCCCGAGCTTTCATTTCCTATCTGCAGCACAGTAAGTCTGTCACACCTTCTTTTTTTCTTACTTTTTTCTTTTTGTGTGTGTGAAGAAAAGAAAACAGAACAGTAAACCACAGTTTCTTTCTTATTTGGCCAGACACGATGTTTGTTGTTTGTATTTCTAGGAGTGGGGATGAAATGGATTAATAAGTTGCCTTAGTGCTTTCATTATTGGTGCTGCTGGTTAACCCTTTAGGTTTTATAATAAACGTTCTTACGTAAATGGAAGATGAGTCTTCCTACGTGAGTGTCTGAGGACAGGACTATAGTAAACACAGGGCTGGTACCTCTGCTTTCTTCTCTGGATACTGGTGTATGTGTTTCCTGCGTGTGAATGAGTAATCCCAAGAGGATCAGGTGCCTGTGATTTAGACCAACTCTGTCTACAGATATAGTCTTATTCCTAGATACTGTGGGCATAGGACCAAAATTAAGATTTGTTTTTTCATCAAATATAGACAAAAAAGTGCTATACCTGAGACATACAAAGGTTTTGTTGGTCTGATCTGTCATATTTTACTGCTAATTTAAGGTATTTGCTGAATCTTTTGAATAATAGTGATTGCTGAACCTGGCTCTGTATTTTAAAATATGCAGCACAGTAAAGGAAAACTATTTCTGTATTGTGGACTTTAAAATATGGCTACACTGAGTATCACTTTATTGTATTCTCGAGTACATATGGGCACAGAGCAGATGCTCAGCCAATATCAAATTGAAAAGAATTAAGACCAAAGGAGATCTGACTGTAAGAATTTAAAGAGGGACTCTATTCGAGAGTTGATTAGAGGTAGGTTTCAGAATATTTGGGGACATTAAAATCTTCTGGTTGTGAAATAGTCTGCTGTAAGGAGACCAGGTTCCTTACGTCCTGATTAGCACCGTCCGGCCACTAGCAGACCTTCGGGCTGTTCCCCAGCCTGGAGCACCAGCCTCACCCTCCACCTTCGGCCTCTTCCTAAAAGCCCAGTCAAGGCTGCCCACATCTGTGCCTCACCCTGTGACCCTTCTGTCATGTGCGTTAAGTCTCCTTAACATAGGTGACTACACTCGGGAGCTTGATCTTGAAAGTCTCATTCTAGCCAGTACCTTGCATACTAAGCATGCAGGCTTATTGTGGTTTCCCCTGCCAGAAAATGTTTGGGTGCCTGAGTGGCTCAGTTGGTTGATTGTCTGCCTTTCGCTCGGACCGTGATCCCAGAGTCCTGGGATCGAGCCCTGGATGGGGCTCCCTGCTCTGTGGAAAGCCTGCTTCTCCCTTTCCCTCTGCCTGCCGCCCCTCCTGCTCGTGCTCTCTTTCTCTAATAAATAAATAAAATCTTTAAAAATAAAAAAAATTTGGAGCACCTTGGTGGCTCAGATGGTTAAGCATCTGCTTTCAGCTCAGGTCATGATCTCCAGGTCCTGAGATGGAGTCCCACATCGGGCTCCCGGCTCAGTGGGGAGTCACCTTCTCCCTCTCCCTCTGCCTTTCCCCCTGCTTATGCTCTCTCTGTCTCTCAAATGAATAAATAAAATCTTTTAAAAATTTTAAAATAAAATAAACATAAAAAGTTTGTGTTCCTCCTGCTTGTGCTTTCTCTCTCAAATAAATAAATAAAATCTTTTAAATAAATAAATAAATAAATAAAACATTAAAAAGTTTGGCCACCTTGGGGCGCCTGGGTGGCTCAGTGGGTTAAAGCCTCTGTCTTTAGCTCAGGTCATGGTCCCCGGGTCCTCCACTCAGCAGCTTCCCCCTCCCTCTCTGCCTGCCTCTCTGCCTACTTGTGATCTCTGTCTGTCAAATAAATAGGTAAAATCTTAAAAAAAAAAAAAAAAAAAAAGTTTGGTCACCTTGAACTGAGTAATATACTCTGTTGAGATCCATTTTCTTCCCTCCATAGAAAAACATTTTTCTCTCTGTTGAACTGAGTAAGATAGTAGAGTTTGATGTAGAATTGAAGATCACTTATTTATGTTTCTCAGTTCTTTTTTTTTTTTTTTTTAGATTTATTTGAGAGAGAGTTTGGCGGGGAGGGACAGAGGGAGAATCGCAGGCAGACTCTGTGCTGAATGCAGAGCCTGAGGCAGGCCTCTGTCTCACAACCCTGAGGGGTTGGTTGTGAGGGGTTCATGACCTGAACCAAAACCAAGAGTCAGATGCTCAACTGACTGTGCCACCCAGACCCCCCTTTTTATTTTATTTTATTTTTTTTTATTTTTTTTTTATTTTAGAGAGTATGTGTTTCTAAGTTTTTAGTGGCAGACATGGAAGGGAAAAAAAATGTGAGATCTCAGTAGAATGTTTGCTATTAATTTTTAGTTGTAGCTTATATAATTTTATAAATACACAAAAGAATTTTATTTTTTTTAAAGATTTTATTTATTTATTTGACAGAGAGCTCACAAGTAGGCAGCAAGGCAGGCAGATAGAGAGGGCGAAGCGGGCTCCCTGCTGAGCAGAGAGCCCAATGTGGGGCTCGATCCCAGGACCCTGAGATCATGACCTGAGCTGAAGACAGAGGCTTTAACCCACTGAGCCACCCAGGTGCCCCCACAAAAGAATTTTAATATCTAAGCCTTGGGAACTCTTAGGGTTCTAGGAACTTAAGTAATAAGTGTCCCTAAAAACCATTAGCTTTGTGTGTCGTTTCTCCCCCATTCATTCATTGGGTATTTAGTGGTGATCAAGATTAGATGTGGTCTGTTCCCTCAAAGGGCATATGGGTTTGGGAAAAGAGAGTCATTAAGCCCATAATTATAAGTAAAGTGTGCCAGGGTTTTGCATAGGAGCAGAAAAATGCTTTAGCAGCATAAATTAGAAGGCATTAAACCTAACCTAGAAGTCTGGGCCTCAGCAGAAGATTCCCTGTTGGAGGTCTCGGTGAGTCAGAGATCTGGAATAGGAATTAACTAACCAGTCAAAAGGAAGACATGGGTGTGTGTTTGAGAAAGGGTGGATGGTGTGATATTTGGAGGGTCAGAGTGTTTCAAATGGAAGAAACAGCATATTTGGAGGCTAGAAAAACAGAGAATACTTCTTTCATGGATGTAAAAGAAGTTCAGTGTGACAGAGGAGGGCTTTGGTGAGAAAAATCATGAAAGTACCCAGGGGCCAGAACGAAGGGAACCTTACTCTGTAAGGTGTGTTTAGCAATTTGACTTTTCCTGAGGTCACTAAGAAGCCAATATAGGTTTCAAGTAAGGAGATGCTATCAGCTTGCCCACAATGTAGAGAAGTGGGAGAGGGGCTCACTGTCAGCAGCTGTGTCCTGGTTTAGAGAGTGGGGGTCGGGCTGGAGGGAGAGAGCAGGTTTGAGAGGTCTTTAGGATGAACAGTGGAAAGAACTATACTGCCTGTGAGATGGGATGGGAGGGGCATGGTGTGTGTATTTGGGGGAGTTAAGACAAATCTGGTATTCTGTCCATGAGGGGGACACCCAAGGAAGAGCAGGGCTGGAGCCTGATTTTGAAGACACTGAGTTTAAATGGCCTTGGATTTGCCTAAGAGGAAGTTTGGATTTGTAGGTTTGGATCTGAGGAACACATTCAAGACTAGAATTTTTAAAAAGTGGGCATTATCAGTACCAAGCACATAGTCACTGAGGCATGAAAGAATGTGAAATGTCCTGGGGAAAAAAGTGAATCTCCACCCCAGCAGCGTCCTAAGGAACATCCACATTAAGGCACAGACAAGCATTAAGAACTGCAGGGAGAGGGGCGCCTGGGTGGCTCAGTCGGTTAAGCATCTGCCTTTGGGTCAGGTCGTGATCCCAGGGTCCCGGGATCGAGCCCTGCATGGGGCTTCCTGCTCAGCGGGAAGCCTGCTTCTCCCTCTCCCAGTCTCACAGCTTGTGTTCCCTCTCTCACTGTGTCTCTCTCTGTCAAATAAATAAATAAAATCTTTTAAAAAAAGAAAGAAAGAACTGCAGGGAGAGCCTGGGAAGGGGTTGCAGAGAGGTGGGCGGGAGGCCAGCAGTGTGGAGCCCAGTAGAGCTCATTTTAAAGTGAAGATGAACAGCAGTTTTCTAAAACCAAAACTGTTTAGTTTATTGTATTCAAGTTTCCTGTGCACTTGAGCACCCAAGTTTTATTACAGTCATGCTAAATCGTCAGTCTTGTGCACGGATGTTTCTCTTAGTGATCCAAGGACTATGGTATATTCTTCCCAGATTCTTCCTGAGGGGCTTCCTGAGTCTTCAGGCCATGAAGATCATGGAACCTCCACTTCTTCAAGTCATGGGCCTGGAAACCAAACAGCAGTTCCTGAGGAGTCAAGTCTGGTCTCTGCCAGTGATGGCCCAGCGGGTGCTTCCTCCCCACCATTAACAGGATCGCTCTGCCATCAGCCCGAAGTCACCCAGCTGCCAGAGTACAAGAGCATGGGCCAGGAAACTCCACCAAAACAGAGGCTTGTGGCTGATCAGAAACTACCTGTTCTTCCAGGACGTGCTACCCGCTCAAGCCAGTCTCCAAAAAAGCCATTCAATAGTATTATTGAGCACCTGTCTGTGGTATTCCCATGTTACAACAGGTATGGATATAAAGTGTCTGTGACTCTGTTGAATACTTCATTGAACTGAGGTTTCCTGATCAGATAACATTAAGGCCAGTTAGGAGCTAAAGTGGAAACAACTCAATAGTTGTTTTACGCAGAAAAGATAGGTGCTGCATTTTTTTCTTATGTTTTGTAAACATAGAGGTGAGCATTTTAAACCAACTTTTTGATGTGTGGATCTAGACTGAAAACACTGAATCCTGGTTACTCGACACTCATCAGAACCTAGGGTAATTTGCTGATATTTTGATGAGGTCAGTAACATGCTCCAGTCCTAGCATGCAGTCCCTAAATGAAAAACAAAACTGCAAAGCACTAGTTTCGTATCATTTGGGGGAGGAAATACCACCTAGCAAGGAAGGCAGCAACAACTTAACACCTTGCTAGTACCTCTGATTTGTTAGAGGTGTGATGTTGGGAGGACTAGGTGTGATTTGATAGTGAATCAGGCCTGTGGGTGTGTTACACAGGGTCCTGGAGGGTGGAGATTTCTGCTTTATCTAAGCCAGTGAGTGTTTGCACCACAACCCCTGGCCTCAGTCTCCAGGTTGATATGAGGGAGCAGAAGTGCTCCCTGCCTCAGCCAAGGAGAGAAGCACTGAAGGCAGTGTCTCAAGGATACAGCTAGGAAGAGGGGAATCCACATCCCAGAATGACCCTCTGTACTCTGTCCCATGTGATTTTCTTTGATACAGTATTAGTTGCAAGTTTTAAAATTACCCTTTTGAAACAAAGTAGTGGTTAAATTATGATTGGCTAGAATTAATGTCTGGCATCTGTTGGTGGAGCCCTGCTTATTTGAAAATAAGTATATGTCCATGGGCATATCTACCCTAAGTTTGAGAAATATTGTAAGTTCTCTCAATAGCAGTTCCCATGCCAGTTGTAAAAAATGCTCATTATAGGGGCGCCTGGGTGGCTCAGTGGGTTAAAACCTCTGCCTTCAGCTCAGGTCATGATCTCAGGGTCCTGGGATCGAGCCCTGCATCAGGCTC